TATATATATATATATATATATATATATATATATATATATATATATATATATATATACATATATATATATATATATATGTTGGGAAATTGATAATTTTGTAATTAAAAGTGATATTTTCAGGCGATTTTCATTTGTAATTCTTAAAAAATTATCGTGTTACCATGACAACTACTCTAGATACTTCCTGCTCGGAAAATACAACGGTTTTGTCAGCAAGGCGAGGGTTTCTGCATGCATGGTTACTATAGATACTAGTTACTATAGACAGCCATTTATGTATAGACATGATATTGCATGTTATACTGGACGAGGATATTATATTTCATGTTATTTATAAAATAACGTCCCTGCCTATACTGGCAACAGTCATAGAAAGAATAAAATATAGTTGTATAACTAAATTTCGTGTCATAAATTGAGCTACGAGATTTAAGTTGAAATATTCCTATAAAGAAATTCATAAATAGACATGCAAAAACTCGCGGGCTTCGTATGAAATGCGGCGAGTTAATTGAAGCCCCGAAATAAAGTCTAAAATTGCATCGAAATAATACATATCCATGTTAAATCGTTTGCCCAAGGCCTGTTATAAAATTTCGACCAGCACTCATATCCGCCGCCATATTTATTTGTGCGTGCTGATTTTACTGACATGCAGTTCTCACGAAAATTTGATGATACGGGGGGTGCTAATGGCACGAATCCCTATATTTGTTATCTCAGCAAACTTTTAACATTGCTGTAATGTACACGTTTAAACATTAATCGTCAAGCTAAATCAAATTTAAGAAATTTTACTATTGCTATAAAAACAGTTTTAACGTTAAAAATTCTCCAACCTTGAAATTTTTTTAGATATGACATTGGGATAACATTTGCAACTCCCCCCCTCCCCGGAAAGTTTACTCTATGTATCTCTCGCAACAAGGGGGAATTTCGTTCTCGACCAATCAGCGCTTTTGTTTACATTTTTGGCCTAAGCCAATCAGAATGCGTAAAACGCTTCATCACATGAAATTTGTGAACAAACATATGGGGTTACTTCAGAGCTTTTCTGCAAGCGGTTTTTTGTTTTTTTGCCATGAAATTGATATATGTTGTTCTTAAAAAAATTCTCCTCAACTTCTTCGTGGCGATTTTTGATTAATTGCGTGATTGCGCAGATATGGGTCTTCAAACTTTGCCTTGCGCAAGCTTAAATACCACCCCTCGAATCTGTAGGTTCCGATCGGATTAGCGTTTTTAATAAAAGCCTTTCAAATCGAGGTTTGAGAGGTTTTATTTTTTAAAAGATACTTTTATCTTCATATTTTCACATTAACTTATTAATATCCTGTGTAACAAGTAAACAGGACACTTCCGGGCCGAGACAAGTTGACATTTCTTGCTAAACAGCGTGGCGATCAATATGGTTCGTATCTAAATACAGGGAATTTTTAAAATTTTGTTGGTATAAATGAGCTAAAGAAATTCCTCAAATATTTGGACTATGGACCTTCAAACTTATGCCAGGTATTTATTTGATTGATTAGCTCAATAACTGTTTCTTGGCTCGTTTTTCGTCGATTTCGACATTTTGTCGACTTCAGGATAATGTGTCAACATTGCGTGTTGCAGCCTGCGGACATGAATATTTTCGTTTGTTTGACCATATTAACACTTGTCTTCATTGTTTTTAATCCTTGAATGACAATATATTCATTGGTCTCAGAGTCCTAAACTTAAGGAAGATGGATGACTTTGGGACAGATATCAAAATTTTGTTCAGATATCAAAATTTATGGACATATATAGTCACAGAGCATAGTCATAGGACCCTCATTGTTTCTTCCTTAATCTGGCCCACTAGTCACAAATGGGGCCTGTTCTTATGACCTGGCTAGGCAGGAGACAACATTTGCCAGTATTGTCGATATACTATCCTGCTACTATCCTGGCTAAGCACGAGGTATCCGTTGCCAGAATCCCAACTATGCAAGCCAAGAAATTCACCATTTACAGTAAACATTCTATCCCACAACCAGGCAACATGAACTTGCCTTTAGGGCCCCATGCTGCCTAGCCCAGATCATATCAACAGACCCTTAGCAGATCCTGAAACTACAATTGGAACATTTTAGGCCATAATCTTGTAGAATCAACCAGGTATTGTCAGTAGTATAATATCACACTGGGCATGCAAGCTGGTCTTGCCCATTTATATCGGCTAAATATACACCTGCCCAAGGTAAGATACTGCCTCGTATATTAATTTTATATATGTTTGAGATTGCATTCACATGAAACAGCCTGGTTGAATTTATTGGCCCAGCATTTGCTTGAGCAAGTTGATATCCTGCATTGGGAGTCTCACACTAATAAAGGTCATAAGCTGGCCAACCAGCTCACTCGACTAAAAATCATGTTACAATACACAAATAAGAAATTGATTAATATAAGCCTTCTATAAGCTGTTGTCATTAACAAATTAACCAGCATTTCACACAAATTTCTTGACAACAGTTGCCAGGTTAGCCTGGCTCCTGTGAGGCAAATGACAAACTAGCCCTGAAAAGAAGATCCATCCATGTTTGCTGGGCTAGCATGGCCCATTTTGACAGCCCTTAACAGGGAGAGCTTATTTTTGGAAGGGAGATCTGATTTTTGGAAGGGAGGCCTATTTGTGAGGTTACTGGGGGCTTAATATTGGATTGCATTATATAATATGTGTAAAATATTCATTTGTGCACAGGTATTCTGGTAATGCACAGGTATTCTGGTAATGCACAAATTTATGGACTAAAATGTTTCAATTATAGTAGATCGGGATCTATTGGGGACCTGTTTATATGATCTAGACTATCCAGAACACATGCTTGAAGCCTAATTCATGTTGCCTGTTTGGTATACAGTGCATATTGATCCTTATTGTATATGGTGAATTACTTGGCTTACATATAGCCAGGATTCTGGCAATGGAAACCTCGCGCTTAGCTAGGCCGATAGTAGCAGGATAGGATAGAACATACTGGCAAATGTCGTCTCCCACCTAGCCAGGTAATATGAACAGGGCCCAATTGTGACAAGTGAGCCAGATGAAGTAAAAAAACAATGAAGTTCATATACAGGTATATATCCATAAATTTTGATACCTGAACAGCAACATTGAACAAAATCATTCTGTCCCAATGTCATCCATCTTCCTTAAGTTTAGGACTCTGAGACCAATGAATATATTGTCAATCAAGGATTAAAACCAATGAAGACAAGTGTTATTGTCAAACAAACGAAAATATTCATGTCCACAGGGTGCAATACGCAATGTTGACACATTATTTTGAAGTCGACTAAGCTCGACTAAATGTCGAAATCGACGAAAAACGAGCCAAAAAACAGTTATTGAACTAATCAATCAAATAAATACTTGGCATAAGTTTGAAGATCCATAGTCCAAATATTTGATGAGCTTCTTTATCCCATTTATACCAACAAAATTTTAAAAATTCCCTGTATTTAGATATTCGCCATATTGATCGCCACGCTGTTTGGCAAGAAATCGACATGTCAACTTGTCCCGGCCCGGAAATGTCCTGTTTACTTGTTACACAGGATATTAATAAGTTAATGTGAAAATATGAAGATAAAGTGTCGTTTAAAAAATAAAACCTCTCAAATCTCGATTTGAAAGGCTTTTAAAAACGCTAATCCATTCGGTATACCTACAAATTCGAGTGGTGGTATTTCAGATTGCGCAAGGTAAAGTTTGAAGACCCATATCTTCGCAATCACGCCATTAATCAAAAATCCCCACGAGGAAGTTGTGGAGAATTATTTTAAGAACAATATATATCAATTTCATGGCAAAAAACCCAAAAAACCGCTTGCAGCAAACCTCTGAAGCGACCCCATATGTTTGTTTACAAATTTCATGAGATGACCCATTTTACGCATTCTGATTGGCTTAGAGCAACAATGTGAACAAAAGCGCTGATTGGTCAAGAACGAAATTCCCCCTTGTTAATGATGAGGGACATGCGGAGATGCATGAATCCTAACACTACCACTATACTGTAACCCTATTCCTAAATCTAATCCAACCCTAATCCAAACACTAACCCTAATCCAAATCAACCCCTAACGCTGCCATCCCCAACCCACCAACCCTAATAGACTGTTACAGTGTTACTTATATAGAAAGAAGTATTGTCCAATCTTTGTGGAACAATGGAGCAGCTATATGATGATACACATCATAGATTAGTGCATTGCCGTATGTTATATATCATCATATATGAAATGAGAGACGATGTTTTCGAGTGTCCACACTAATACGATATGTATGCGTTTTCATTTCAGCGTTTTAAAGTCGATGCGTTTTCGGTGAATACGCTGAGCGTATTCGAGCGTATTAGTGTATTCGACGGAAGGCCGAAACGCATCGAAATGTATTCGTTTTCAAACGAAACAGAAGAAGAGCTTAGAAGCTTAAGTCAAGATTTGAACTGATCCATGCAAGACAGGATCAAATATGCATTGTACCTTAACTGCAGATTACGTTCCTCGATTGTAACAAACGCCATGATCTCTTTTTGGTTACGTTACGCAGAAGTGCTTTATTTTAAAGTACGTGCTAGAAGTAAAGGCTGCTTTCCAGTTACGCGTTTTTGCACGTGCGTGTACGCACGGAAAAGTTAATATTCCTTTTAACTTTTCCTTATTATAAATTTCCTTTTCCTAAATTACTAGTTGCATAAAAAGACAGCATACAACTTGATGTGTGATTTAATGTGCATTCGTTAAGGTAATTAGTACTTGAATAAAATTTAGAAGGATTTGAACTTGCGTACACGCACATGGAAAAAACGCGTAACTGGAAAGCAGCCTTAAGTTAAAGCTGCATTTCGATCGCGGTTCAGTCAAACTGCTGCTGGGACCCCGGGGTTCTGTCGAAACCCGGTGCACCCACAGTCGAACAGTGGATGCTTTCGTTAAAAAATTAAACATCGAATTTTCTTTTTCAGTTTTCCGCTAGTGTAGCACTCGCGTTGGAAACCAAGACATTAACGGGAAACCTGCGGCACGAGTTCGTCAGAGATATTTGCACTCATATATCGTCAAACGGCGTGTATTTTCTGAACAAGCTAGAAAGAAACCTGGTCGCCACCGCCATAGTGACAAAATACCCCTTTCGTAAAGATCCCATTGGCAGCGGATTGGTGAGTTTGTTATTATTTGTACTTTTTATTTTTGATTCGAGTTCATTACTCTTTGCGGTTATCCTGAATGAATTTATACGAGGATGGCTGAGCTACGCTAGCAACGATTGCACGGCGCGTGAAGAACCCTTAGGCTATGACGTTATGGCTGAAGTTAACTTTGCTTAGATTGTTGTAACAACATTTATATCTCATGTGCGTCGGTTTTCTTTGTTCGTCCGAGGTTTATAACTAGCTTATATACCTTGAATAAATGATTAGATGAAACTTGTAGACAAAACGCGAGAATTCTTCATTAAAAATTTTTGAAAATGACAAAATATGTTGGAAAACCTCCGCAAATGAGATATAAGTAACAAGGGCGAATTTCGTTTTTGACCAATCAGAGCATTTGTTTACCTTTTGGCGCTAAGCCAATCAGAACGCGTACATTGTTACTACTTCCGGTTTAGACGCCTATTTCGACACGAAAATTACGGTTGTAAATAAAGCCTTGGGGGGGTCTGGTTTTTTAATTTTTTGGACTTATTTCAATGAAATCCTATAAAATATAAAATTTTCGAAAAATTTGCCGCTGGGATTTGCGTCTCATCGCTTAGTTTTGAAATTATCCGCATTCAAAAAACGGCGTATGCAAGGTCACTCTCGAATAGGTCAAAAACGTGTTATGATTCTAAAGGAAGTGAAGCAAAAACATATATCCGGAAATATTGAAGAGTGGCTCGGGGCATTTGAGAAAGAAGGCATTTTCACTGCGATTTTGGAGTTAAATTTTCTAGCAATCGGTCACTACACGACTATAATTTTGCCAGCAGTGGCCATATAGCACTAAAGCAAAGTAGAAGAATCGCCGTTTATGACTGCCTCGTTGGCCCAAGCTTTCTGGTTTTGACTTGAGAGGATATTTGCAAATCGGGCAAGCACTGATGTCTGGTAGGTTACACTCAGGGTGGAAAGAGTGTCTACAGCCTCGAAAAATGCGACACAAAGGACTATCACGACTGCATTCGATCACTGATTTTTAGATCAATGCATTCGATTTTATCACATTTTCTGTCTCAATAGAAATTGAAGGTATATACCTTATATATTTCACATATATTAAACATATAGACACATATTTCCATGTTTATGATTCATATACATTTTACAGGGTGTCAATATATTAAAAGATTCATATTTTTTCAAGCACCAGATTGTCAGTCAACAGAAGGTTACTTATTTGCTTTTGAACGCAGTTTTTCCCATATGTTTTATATAATTGTATAGAAAACAGTAAGACCGCTGTATATTTTTATGACCATGAAATCAAAAACTATTTACTAAAGCATTTTAAACTCTTGATAGTGATGCAGTATAATTATACTGAACTTATTTTGTAGGATTAGGAGGTCTCCAATGGAACAACTCGGTTGGTGGTGACAACAGTGGCATAGCCACAGGGGGGGGAGGGACTGGTGGGATGAGTCCCCCCCCCCACACTCTCCTTCAGAACTAACTTCGAGATATGTTTAAATCAGTTGAGAAACTGGGGGGGGGGGAGGTAACGCTTATCTGATTTCATGGCCAGCTTATTATTCACAATCTAATAAGTGAAGACACAGGTATTCTTGACTACCAAATTATGTTATAATCTTCTGAATTTTGTAAAATCTCGCCCCAAAATGTACAAAATGGCATTTCAGATTCTCTGAATTTCAAAATTCAGAGCCTCTGAATTTTGACCCCCTACAGTGTCCGTGCCTTTGCCGCTCAAGTCATCCCTCCCCCCCCCCCTACTTTGTAAACCCTGGCTACGCCACTGGGTGACAACCATGCATCCAAACAAATTTTCTAGTTTCCACTTTTCTTGTCTACTTGTTTTGCCCATGCACTCTTGACAGTAATGCACATATCAATGGAAATCCTGTGGTGGGGGAGGATGCGACAGAGTAGGGGATTTGTAAAAATGACAAGAAAAACAGTCAAATTCCTGTAGGTGGGTGTAAATATTCCGGTCAAATAAAGATCAATTCCCCCACCCGCAGGTGTCAGAAAAGTAATAAACTTTGGTGGCAAAGATTGTTGGATTTCAGAATTTCAAGATGTGTGTGTGGGGTGGGGGTGCACCCTCGCCAGCACCCCAGCCCTGGGTGTACCCTAGCCCTGGCCAGAGGGGGTGCAGGGGGAGTGCTATTTTTCATGATAAAGATAAAAAATAGAGACAAAATGAAATACAATAATTTATCAATCCTTTGCCTAATTTGCTCAGCACTTGGTATCACTTTGTCAGCACTTGGTATCCAGGGCTGATTACATGGTGCACTTTCAAGTTGGGTTGAACTCAGCCCTATTAACTGGGTTGAAATTTTTTGCAATTACATGGACGATTCCAGTCCTGGGGTTGAAATGCTGTACATTCCCAGGCATTGATTTCCGGAAGTAAAAGAAAGCAGCTCCGTAGCCTCCATTTTGTTTTCTTGTAATAAATAGTACTACCACACATGCTTGAATAACTCATGAATAATTTCAACCCTGGGTTGAAACAATTGCATGACAACATTTTGAACCCGAGTCTGAGTCTCTGCTAACTGAAGCAGGGTTGAAGTTTCAAACCCGGGGTTGAACTGGACCCTGGCTTGAAAATGTTGTTAATATGTAGTTGCACATTTGATTTTGATAGAGTTTTATATTATTATTAATTACAGACTGTTGAAATTTCAACCCGGTCAACAGGGTTGAGTTCAACTCCGGGGTTAAGTTCAACTCCGGGGTTAAGTTCAACTCCGGGGTTGAGTTCAACTCCCGTGTTGAGTTCAACTCCCGGGTTAAGTTCAACTCCTGTGTTGAGTTCAACTCCCGGGTTAAGTTCAACTCCCGGGTTAAGTTCAACTCTCGGGTTTAGTTCAACTGCCTTAGTCCATGCCCACATAAGAGGTGGAAATTTTCAACAGGGTGCTTGCTGAAAGCTAATAATGCTTGATACAGTGTGTGGTACATGGGATGGTTGTTCTCTTGCCAATATATGAAATGAGAGAGAACCACTAACATTGCCTTGTCATGATGACAATGCCATAAGTCGAAAAAATATGAATCTTTTAGTATATTGACAGCCTGTAAAATGTATATATTGACAGCCTGTAAAATGTATATGAATCATAAGCATGAACTGTATATGTTTGTATGTGAAATATATAAGGTATATACCTTCAATTTCCATTGAGACAGCAAATGTGATAAAATCGAATGCATTGATCTAAAAATCAGTGATCGAATGCAGTCGTGATAGTCCTTTGTGTCGCCTCGAGTGTAACCTACCAGACATCAGTGCTTGCCCGATTTGCAAATATCCTCTCAAGTCAAAACCAGTCTAGGAATATCGCCCCCTTTTGAGAGGGGGGCGAATCTCCTGGGGGGCTAAATTCCTGTGACACCGGAAGAGTTACTTCGAACGAAGTTCTAAGCGAGTAATTAATGCGATTCAGCTAGACTATAAATCAATCAACGCATACAACGCTCCTGTTATTTTCGATATTTTACACTTAAACTATATTTATAAAGTGTGTCGCAAATCTTGGCAGTGTCAATAGCTTAATAACAAATATGATAAGACCAAACTTACCTCGCAAATGGTGATTAGAACCGAAGAATAACCAGTCAGCGATAGCATCCTTATTGTTGTTCGATTGTGAAAAATATGCTTTATTGTCTCGATCATATTAACGCGTCAGGAATTCTTGTATATTCGTATTATAATAAATCTCGCGTATATACAAGTGCGAAATCTAGAGCAAGGTTTACAAGAAATATTGCATCCCAATCCCAATATAAAAATCAAAATCATGACTCATGATGATTGCCACATAATTTTTTGTCTTTATAAACCGCACACAAATACTAAAGGTGGGCAGAAATCAGTTCACACCAAACAAAGACATACTGGTAATTTATGCACACTGAGTGTTTGATTGCGTTCCTTAGTTTAGCTCGTACCGTTGTGTGCGGTTTACAAAAAAAAATTATCTGGCAATCATCAGAATCACGATTTTGATTTTTATATTGGGATTGGGATGCAATCTTTCTTGTAAACCTTGCTCTAGACTTAGCACTTGTATACGCGAGAATTATTATAATACGAATAATTTATATCCAAGAATTCCTGAGGCGTTCATGTGTATATGACATGAAATTTCTTATTTTCTTAAATGAAAGAACTCTTTAAGTTGTAGTGTGACTTATCTTTCAGTTTCTTATTTTTATGGTTTGTTCCAGAGATATTTCAATTTGTTTGATATGTGAATGAGTGTGAATATGTCCGCTAATTTATGACGTCATGTTAGTTGCAAGCTCAACTTACACTGGTTATAAATGTATTAACTCTAAAACATAGACGGATTCTCATATTTATTTTTTAGGGGTGGTGAACCGTGAGCAGGTGACTGAAGCAACACAAAGTGTCACCAAACCCCAGTAAGGTCTATATTCTAGGGGTGGAGCACTAGAGCCGCGAGGGGGAGACTAGAGAGCAGAAAACAAAGTATCCCAGGAAAAATTTGAAAAAATCATGATTTCTAGCTTCGAAAAAAAGTTTTTTGAAGTTGTCAATTTGTCATATCAATGGATTTAGCATGTCGCCATGTCCGATTGTCTGTTGAGACTTGAGAGAGTTAAAGACTTAAAGTTAAATGAACCTGTAAAATGTGTAACCCCAATAGGCCAATACACAATATGCTTTTACTTTTATAAAGTCATTGACATTGTGTTGTTTGAATCCAAGTACAATTTACGATGCAACTCCGATGTAAATAATATTTGAGGTGTAAAGATTAAATCTAGGCAAGTCTGATATTTGCTGTGTTGGTGCAATGTACTCAAGTGAATAAGATGCTTGTGATGTTACTCTGAGTGTATATCCACACCGGGCAGGCCTGAAAAATATGCCTGGCAACGGTGGGAATCGAACCTACCACCTTTGGAATACCAGCCCAATGCTCTGCCAACTGAGCTACGCGGTCAGGTCGGTTCGAGTATGTGATATTTCGGAACTGAGTCTAGTTCCTTCGATATCAATGTAATATAATAATCATGATATTTGCTGTGTTGGTGTAATGTACTCAGGTGAATAAGATGCTTGTAATGTTACTCTGAGTGTATATCCACACCGGGCAGGCTTGAAAAATATGCCTAGCCACGGTGGTACGGGTGCACCGGATTTGGAATTTTCAAATCCGGCCGGAACCGGATTTACCGGATCTGGACAAAATTTCGGCCGGCCGGATCTGCCAGATTTGAGATAAACCGGTAATGGGGACAATTGGGGATAAATTGGGATAATTCAGTATTCAAAATGGTGGTTTATGTTTTTTTTTAATCAAAGACAAAGGAATTTTTTCATTTATAAAGTGTCAGTTTAGATTTTTGATTGTGTTTAAACGTACCTTTTTTAAATATCATTTTCTTAATAACTTAATATTTTATAATAATATAAATGCTTTTTAAACTTTAAAGCTGCCAAATTGATGGTTTATCCCATTCTTGGTGAATTTTTTAAGGTGAAAACAGAAATTTAAACCGGCCGGATTTTCTCCAAATCCGGCCGGATGCCGGAAAATTTGTTAAATCTAGCCTGCATGCAGCCTGACTTTTTGATGGGGAAGGGGGAAAAGTCAGTCTGCGAATCAGGGAACAATACCGTGTTCGCGCTATCTTTTGAATTGCATGGATTTATGTATTCAAACGTGATTGACTATTGCTCAGAAGCTTAATACACGCGCTACGATTGGCCAATTCGTTAATATATTCAGTTCAACAAAATGTGATATTTAGCAAAATGGCGTCTTTCGAGAAACGAATTTTGCAAAAAGCTATTGATGAGTGCAAATCTCAATTCAAAATACAACACTTGTTGATAGAGCAGAAAGAAGCAATCGAGATATTCTTTCAAAAGAAAAATTTATCTTCATAAATTTACCTACAGGCTTCGGGAAATCCTTAATTTACCAGTGTTTACCGTTTGTGGCAGACGTGCTATATGAAAGACCTCGAGGTTCCAGTGTGATTGTTGTAATCTCTCCATTGCGATCATTAATGAATGATCAAGTTGAATATTTGATGAGTATTGGAATTCCTGCGATAGCCATTTCGGATGAAGAAGATCCTGATATAGTTCAACAAGTTATGAATGGTACATATATTGTTATTTATGGCTCTCCGGAATGTCTATTGTCAATGTCGGTATGGAGGAGTATTTTCCAGTGCCAAAGCTTCACGGAAATGCTCATAGGATTTGCTATTGATGAAGCGCATTGTATAGTTCATTGGTGAGTTTTCTACATATTTCACTATTTATTTTAGGAAAAATAATAATAAATTGGTTGCTTGAAGTCTTGAACATGCCAAAAAGATTATGAGTATTATTATTAAAGCAAATGTGCAGTTTGTGCATTAATTATTTATCTTCTGTAATCAGTGGCAAATACTGCAATTTCATTGGTTGACAGGAGTGCGATTTGAGCATTAATCGCACCTTTTCTGAGCTGTAATCGCACTCTTGTCTACAGCCAATGAAAATCAGTCTAGTATTTACAACTAGCCAATCAGCATTCAGGATACAAACTTTGAATTTTATTTTCTTATTGCTGTAAAAAATTTCAAAATGGAGGAATTCACAAATTTTAATTTGACCTTTTAATTTTTAAATCAGCCCTCGAAAACCGTCAAAATTGAGGTCGGAAAAAAAATGCCGACCTAAACCTGACCTAGCTCAGTACATCTCGGCAGTTTTTAAAATCTGTTTCCATGTCTTGGAGCACTAGTAGCCTGCACTAGTAATCACGTATTTACGAATCATTGAAAAGTATAAATGTCACGAAGCCTTTTCTTTTAGAGTTTTACCTAAATTATATCATAAATATACCCGTTAATTCTTAAATCTTACACCAAAGTACATCGAATTCTATAATCGCTGACTTTTTAACAGCTATAAGCACCAAAAAAGATTATTACTTTGGCTGAATTAAGGTCGGCAAAACATTGCCGACATGGGAGGTTGATAGGTCGGCATTTACTGTAGGTCGGATCTGCCGAATGCAGATCTCGTTTTCGAGGGTTGTTAAATTATATATTTTCTGACGAAAATGACCTACCTGTTCATCCAGCAGAAGACACCGAACTAAACACAACCAGGAGTTATATTTCCATCCAATTCAGATCATTAATTGAATTAAAAACTTCACTATTTTGAACACGTTATAAACATACAAACATGGCTTCCCAATTGTGTGTTGAATAATTCAAACAAATGTTGTCATGTGATTATACCGGAAATAATGCCCGGAAGTCGTTAATAATATGTTAATTTTATTATATATGATAAACAATAATTCATAATTGTACTATTTCACTAAGAATTGTCGTGACAAAAATTTAATAATTATATTGAACTTCAACAAATTGTATATTTCTGCTTTTCCCCCTTAAACAGTTTGATTACAGAAGATAAATAATTAATAAGTAATAGAACGAATTAAAGTCGTGCTATTAATGCCATAATCATACTCGTGATTAACAAATCAACCTCCCGCTACGCGGTCGGTTGATTTTGTAATCACTCGTATGATTATGGCATTAATAGCACTCCTATTCGTTCTATTACCATCATTAATATTGCCGAAGGAATAAAAATAAAGAAATAAATTTAACAACCTGCACATATATGTATATTTTATATTTAATGATGTATTGCCATATATTTTTACTTTTAAATTATTCATGATTTACTAACTATTATAATACATTCATTACTTTACATGACATATTTTTTTTCAAGATTAATAATAGTACAATACAGTATGGAGTGTCAAGATGTAACACAGGTTATTGTAGCACGGCATATAAAAAATATGAATAATTTTATGAATATGTGTCACTAAACTAGTATTATGTACTGTTTAAATAGGGGCTTGCCTGGAAGTAAGGACAGCGATGTTCCATTCAGGAAATGGTATGGCTGTTTGGGGGAATTGCGTTCCTTATTCCCACAGCACTGCAAACTTGTAATTCTCACTGCAACTGCGACAAGAGATACGAAAGAACAAATACTAAGCACGCTACACCTGTTTACAAATGATGTACATTTCATCGAGCAGAGCCCAGATCGGAAAAATATACAATACAGTGTTCAGTATTTAGAAAAGGATGATCATTTGGAAAATGCCTTTTCATCACTAATTCAAGATGTTAAAGAACATGGTGCAATTAGTCAGCGAACATTGATTTACTGTCAGACTCGAAAACAGTGTTCAATTATTTACCGCATTTTTGAAGTGTATTTGGGTAAGCAACTATTTCTTGGTGACTGTTTACCACAAAATAGGCTGGTTGAGATGTTTCATGCAGGAACACCTCCCCTTGCCAAGGAACACAACACAAAAAATTTAGCAGACAAAAATGGTCATTTACGCATACTTGTATGCACAATTGCATTTGGTATGGGAGTGAATTGTAAGAAGGTACGAAGGGTGGTACATTTTGGCCCGTCCAAGAACATTGAAAGTTATGTGCAAGAGTGTGGGCGTGCTGGTAGAGATGGGCAACCTAGTTCCTGTTGCCTTGTTTACAATGGTTTATTGTTAGGGCGCTGTGACAAGGAGATGAAAGTGTATGTGCAGGCTAAAGAGTGTCGTCGAAAGATACTGATGGATAATTTTGGCTATCAATGTGAAAAACAAAGTGAGCTATCTCACAAATGCTGCAATATTTGTGCTGAAAACTGCTCGTGCCAAGAAAAATGCACTGTATGGAATCTATGTGAAGAGAATGAAGTTGATCTTACCATGTCAAATGATGTTACAAAAACATGTATTCAAAGGCCAGTTTCACAAGGACAAAAAAAACTGTTGCACACTGAACTAATCAAATTCCGGAACACAGTTATAAGCAAAGCACATACACAAGAACAAGTTCCTTGTCCCAATAATCTACTTGAATTCAACAATTTTCACATAAATCAAGTAATTAACAAATGCTACAAGCTATTTACAGTCAATGACATTTTGCAAGAGATTGAAATTTGGAGACATGCTCATGCTATTGAAATACTGAATATAATAAACAGAGTTTTTGGAGATGTTGATGCCAATGAACTAATGGGACTTGATGAGGAACAGTTCCTCAATGACACTAGTTTCACTTCAAACTGGGATGATGTGAGAGATGATCATGCATATCCTTCATGGAAACTCAGGAACTTGAATGTTTTTCCTCTTTCAACACTAGCAAAGGTGATGAATCCATGGATTTAAATAGCAGTATTTAGCCAATTAACCCATCTCTCGAACATAACAAACAGTAGCTACTAATTAACTAAATTCAAGTGACCTATACAATTCAATTTGCCTTTGTCGCAAAGGCCGAAATCCGCCATTTTGGGTGTACTGTATGCTCTTGTAAAAGATTCTAGACAATTGAAACAACATGAAAAAGACTTTTAAAAGTTGTAACTGTAAATTTACCATTATACAAACAACTACAACACTAAAAAGTTGTATTTTGTGGATATTCTCAAACACGGGAGAGGCAGTACCCCCAAATGGCGTGAAAAATTGGCCAGAGAAAGGCTAATTGTGCTTTTCAGAAATCACTGTCAATATGTGAAAATGAAACATTTTCTCGTAATACAACGAACAAGTTTAAAAAAACTTTTGTACTAAGATAAAATGTTTCATGAAATGTGCAATGGAAGTAGCCAGGTGTTATTTGAGGTACATATTTTGTTTTCTGACAAACATAATTTCTTCAAACAATTAGTTTGACTATTTTTCATATGGGGTATTTTTAAAATCGTAGGGAATTATCCTTTCTCACAAAGGCCAAAATCCTCCATTTTGGGGGTACTGCTTGTCCTTGTGAAAGATTCTGTACAATTCAAACAACATGAAAAGCAACTTTTAAAAGTTGTAACTGTAAATGTACCATTATACAAATGTATACATTGTATTTCGTGGTTCGGAGACTCCCAAACATGGTAGAGGCAGTACCCAAAAATGGCAGAAATATCGACTTTGAGAAAGACTAATTGAATTAACTGACTATATGCATTCGGAAGGTATTGATATTGACAGTTATAGATAACTGATCCTCAGTTGACAATTAATTATCATTAATTTAACGAGCATGCCTGTTAAGAATCATATGCTTTTTATGTTCATTGATCCACGTATACAATTTATGCAAATCAAAACCATTTAGAATGCTTGGTTTAATATTTTTATAAAAAGTATACTCCCTGCCAGGTGTGTGATAAAATGCCTTCTGTGTAAGTAGCTCATTTACTACTTTTTCCAGGTCTCCCTTGGTTGACTTCTTTATATGCTTCCCAGATCTTTTATAAATGTTCAAGTTTGTATCGAAAACCGCCATTAGATCAGCAGTTACTCCCAACGAATGGCAAATACGATCAAGTGACTTCTTGCTTGCACTGGGACCAAGATGTTTTATGGCTTCCTTGACCAGTTTGTTCTTGAACTCTAAATTTAAATCCAAAGATATATTGCCAAATTATCCATGTTTGTTCTTAACGAATCTGTTCCAAACCAGGCGATGAGATTCTTCAGGATAAAGCAATGCATATAATTGGAACATTAAATACAATGCTTCAAGAGAATACTTGTTGGCTGATGTTCCTTGATGCTTCAAATACATAAGGAAAAATTTCCAACACCTTATCACACGTTCCCCATCGCCCTTTGATATTCCATCCCATAAATTGAGCAATAACATTCCATAATCAAGCAATGCTCTTTGATAAGCAAACATGTCATCTCGCTCGTCTTCATCAATTGTGGTATCGCAGATCACATTGGCAATTTCATATTCATTCACTTCGGGTTGAGGATAATGTTGCATTTCGTGTTGCCTTCTGCGCTTTCCGTCAAATGCAAATGTTTTCTGGCAGCCCTTGTATCTGCATGGATATCTCCCTTCGCCATTCACTGAACGTTTTGCATCTGTGTATTGCTGGATCAACTGCACAGATGTCAAAATCTTATCATTTCTTTCCTGGTCGATAACAAATCTATCCACAACAGCAGTAGCTGTTTTTCTGAGAAACTCCATTTTCTCTTCTTTGGACGTTTCATCTTTGTCAGAGAAGATCTCTTTATCTTCATCTAAACTGTCCATTTCCAGAACAGCTAAAGCACCAGCAATGACTCTTGACTCCACTTCAATTTTAAAAAATCTCCGGCAAGCATTCGCTGCAGCACTGACATCACTCTTTACATTCCTTCTATTGATTAAATTGTGGTCGCTGTACATAGTACATTTGTCACCAGAAGAAGATATGTTATATAAGTTATTAAATGCAACCTGAAACAATAATTAAAAATAATTTAATTTTTATAAACTGTAATATGAGTGGGTTTAGTTCTTATATAGTAGACAAGGACATAAAATTCAGCAAGTCTAGAAAGTGTTCAGAGGTTGCAAATAGAATCAGTACATGTATTCGTTCATTATATGTGGCAGAACGTTGTGGCAGGGAAAGCTTTTAACAGTCAAACGTTTGTGCATTTTGCATCCAGTGTTTCATCCAAAATGAAAAAATAATAATCTCCATGAGATACTTCGTGTATAATATTACTGTATATGGTGTCTGGGGGACACATTGTGCGAGGTGGGTACAATATTTTGAAATTTACAAACCTCCAAAAACTTGTTGCCGGCATGCCAGTCAGCTGCTTCAAAATGCAATCCTTCTAGACGCTCTTCACTAGTAAATCCATTGGCTAAGGACATTTTACCATTTATAGCTCTTTCCACACTTAATTGATCGCCAACCACACCTTGATTACCATAAACATTATCTTCTTGATCAGCATTGCAAGGAACAAACTTGTGAAGTTGCTGGAGAATCTTGATGATCCCGTTAGCATCATTTTCGTTCTCGTATATCATGCCTAAAAACACCTGCAAAAAGAGAGAAGTAGGACAAAATTAATGCTATTGTAACGATTACAATGAATGCTCTCTCATATGTATTTTATTGATTTGCTTATTGTACACTTATTTTATTTGATATTACTTCTCTTGGACTAACACATTAGACAATAAAAAAGCAATGGAATTGCCACTTAGTTGAGAAGTTAAGGAGGGTATTTTTATATGCATGTGGTTATTCTTTCACGCCAGTCACAAAATATACAGTAGTACTGTATAAATGCTGTGCTGAGTGGTTATATTACTACCTTAAAAAATAAGCAGAAACTCAACGTTTCGAGCGAAGGCCCTTCGTCAAGAGTTATTAGCACTAACTCTTGACGAAGGGCATTCGCTCGAAACGTCGAGTTTCTGCTTATTTTTTTAAGGTAGTAATATAACCACTCAGCACAGCATTTTCACATTGGTACTACCAACACTGGTACAGACAGTTTAAGTAGTACACTAGTACTGTATAACTGTTACTTACTAGTGATAATCTAAACCTGATATCAATCCTAATCCTGATACTACCCTAACCCATATGCCTAACCTACCTCAAAGCCTACCCCTAATGGTATTAAAGTAACTTACAGAATCTGATCTCTTCTTCATTTCTGCACTGTACTGGTGAGAAATGTGCATAGGACACAAATCTGCAAGGAAATTTAAGCAAGGAATGTTGGTTGTAATTATCCGTTCAACAAGGTGAATATAATTTGTCCTTTGCTTTACATTATCAGCTGAACTAGGAATGCATTTTCCATTCTCCATTTTCATAACTCCACCTGTTGGAAGTTCATCACTTAAATGGTTCCCTGATACACGGTTCTCTACACTCATGTATGTTACATAATGATGGTCAACATTCTGGTGTTGTTCGGTCATGTAGTGAACTTTCTGGTTGTAATCGATATTGTCAAACACAATTTTTCTGCCAGAATCAGGTGTAACAACAGCTTGAGCTAATGGATCTGCCTCCTCAGGATTTTCTTCAGTTGGGTTCTTACAGTGCTTTTGTGCCAATAGTTGACCCTGTGCAGCAACTCTGTCCAGAACTTCCTTATCATGATCAGCTCCATATTCATCGAGTTTCTTGTATAGAAAGGTATGGCTGGTTACTAGCCTCAATGGATACAATCGTGCCAACATAGCATATAATTAAAGTAAGAGAAATACTGTAATATACAAGTAATATATATTTAATATATATGCTGCAAATTCACCCATGCTGTGTTCCAGCACACTTTCAAATTAACCTTAATAATTTTTTGGGAGTGCATCACATAATTCTTATGTGGGGGTGGGTAGGGATGTCAAAAATTGACCAATATTTCTGAACAGCCACAAACATTAATGAGACAATGGGTGTGTAGATTATGCAAAACTAGTAAATGTATGCTTTGCCTATTAGAAACTAGAAAATTATTAAACTATTAATACCAATAAAGAAGGATGCAATTAGCTCAGATTTTATATGTTATATGAGTCCTGAGCAGATATTGTGGTTTATAACCATTAATTATCAAGGGTGAGTGGTGTGGTGGCTTCAAAATCTCAAGGGGGGGCAGGGCGCAGTGTTAAATTTGATGTCCCACAGTTATTTTGACACTGGTGCCTCCCCCCCTGAAAAAAAATTGGCTCTTGTACAACTAGGGGGATAGGGGAGCATGCTCCCATAGGGGAGCATGCTCCCCAGCAACTTTCTGAAATTTGAAGCCTGAAAGTGCCATTTCCTGCATTTTGAGCATCAAATTTCTAACAAAAATGTATTCTAACAAAGCCGTATTTTAAACAAAAACCGTAAACAAACAACAAGAATGTAATACGGTCATGTCACATGTCATGTAGGAATTTTAATTGAGAAACTTAAATTTTAGGATTAAATACTAATCCTTCTTGGCAATTTTGGCACTCCAACTGGATTTCGGCACCCCCTTGAAAAAATGGGCCATGCACCCGCCACCCCCGTCGCCATGACGCCACTGCCAAGGGTTCCAATTGATAAGCAAAACCATCCTATTTAGACGAAGAAAATTGGTGGGATATAACAATAAATTATGACTTACCAACCAATTTGCATGATACAAAAAGATGGTTATCAATAGTTGGGCAGCTATCATGAACTTTGACCGACTGCGAAGACAAACAGCTCCTGCCATAGCCACTGATGCAAATTCATTTTGAGGTTCTGTTGCTTTACTTCTTGGGTTGGTACAAGCAGCAACTAACAACGAATGAAACAGGGGTGCTCTCTTACTAAGTTCGCCAGAAAGTTTCTCAAATGTAAAAGTTAAAATGCTCTCTTTACTGGTACGGTCATCCTCAAAATGCTGGGATTTTTCTTCGAACATAGTTGTGTGCATTCTCTGTTGATTTCCTTTTCCATTAGCTGAATGAATTCTTTCCTCAATTTTTCATTTTTCCAAGCAGCAGTAGCAATCTGTTTATACGTTCCTCTTACCAACATCTTTGCCAAGGAGTCAAAATCCTCAGGTAGCTTTTTCTCGACACTTTTAGATGGCCACATTACCTTAATAAATAGATAGATATATTATTTAATAAAGTACTTTGCAGCCTGATGCCTGAATTATTTACATAACATGTATTTTAGTATTTAATTAAACAATATTAAGAAAAAAATTAAAAACAATACCTTCACACGAACTTCTGTTTTCGTTGTAACCGAACTCTCACTGCTGGTTTCATTAATACTAACACGCTTCTGCAGAACTGGTGAGACTGGCCATGTTATGATATTTGTATTTGCAATGTCACCTGTACTGGAGCGAATTGGCGACGATGTTCGACGTGAAACCTCAGTTGCTTCGTCACAAATCCTCTTTGATACTGTAGCCGTAGGTTCTTGATCTTCGATAGTTGCTAAATCTGCTGATCTTTTGTACGCTGAATTCCTGAAAAAACCTTCGATATCATTTAAGGTTGTGAGAATTGCCCGACGTTTCTTCAACTTTTGGACACAAGCCCTGCAAGCGTATTTGCTGTAAATCACAACACTGAAAGGAAGTGACTGGATCTCGGCAGCAACGTCAAATTCTTTTTTCCCTGTATTAATGAGAACCCTTTCATACATCTTTTGTATGGCTTTCGTGCATAAATTACATGCAACATTGCCCTTCGCGCTTTCGTCCGCCATTTTTTAATTCTGGAATGTTGTTGTTGAACTGAATATATTAACGAATTGGCCAATCGTAGCGCGTGTATTAAGCTTCTGAGCAATAGCCAATCACGTTTGAATACATAAATCCATGCAATTCAAAAGATAGCGCGAACACGGTATTGTTCCCTGATTCGCAGACTGACTTTTCCCCCTTCCCCATCTAAAAGTCAGGCTGCACGCAGGCTAGTTAAATCCGGCCGGACTTGAAATCCGGTGCACCCCTACATGGTGGGAGTCGAACATACGACCTTTGGAATACCAGCCTAATGAAACACAGCGAACACTAGTTCGTAAAATTCCAAACGTTCCTTGCGTGCAAGCTATTCGCATTACAAGGCACTGCAAACTCTATTCAGGGAAGATAATAGAGTTTCAAAACTTTACAATTTCTCCAATAAACCAGTGAATGCAAGCGAGGAGCGATTAGTTTCAGAGAGTTGCACTGTCTTTTTCTGTTCGAGTGTACTCCTACATTTATTTTGTATCATCAACACTCTGCACGTTGGAGTGGACTATTTAATTATTTATTTATTATGCCGAATATTTGGGGGGGGGGGGGAAAATTTTTTTGGAGGGGTGGACATTTTGTTTGGGAGGGGTTATAGCTAATATTGGGGTGGTAGCACCCCC